GTTTGAGAGTGGAGAAAAAAAGGACTCAAAGTACATAGGAATTTAAGGAAAGGCTGATACATTTGACTGCATTTATAGAATACAAATGAAACCAATTGATAAACCAGGAAATGGGTTTATTTCATATGAAAAAGGTGCTAATGTTCCTAACATGGAAAAAGCTTGCAGAAACAGGAATCGGGGAGCCTTTCCAGTCTTGCTTTAAAACATGTTCAAAGGTTTCTCTCCTAGGGTTCTGTTGCTGTGGGGAGACTCCATGACCATGCCAACTCTTTTTTTTTTTATCAAACAAACAAACAAACAAAAACAGAAACGATGTTACAGATAGAAAAAGAGGAGATTGTCATATGATCACATGCAATAAAAATATGAACTCTCCTTTGGATAGAAAAAAATGTTATATAGCCGGGCGTTGGTGGCACATGCCTTTAATCCCAGCACTCGGGAGGCAGAGAAAAAATGCTATATAAAAATTCAAAATTGCAGCATTATGATCTTTTAATTCAAATTTCACAAGAAATCTGGGCTCAATTTTATTTTCATATAGTCTTTTACTTACTCTTGGGAAAAATGGAATTGTTTTAGCATCTGTAATATCATTATAATACATATTAATACTGACATTTAAACTACATGTTTATTTTTTCAATAGATATACAATTTATAATGTGCATAGTCTTTTGTGTCCTTCAATAGTGAAATGATATAGAAGTCATTTTAAAAAGAAATACTAAATTTTGATAAAATAAATCGAATAAATTTTGCTTCTATACTTTGGAGTCTTACCATACCCATTAACTTAGAAAAATTTTAAGATCATGTTGATTTTATACCGAAAAATTTAGTGTTTTACCCTTTATTTTGAAGTGAACTGAATATTATTCGCACTGTAATAACTCTTTCTTTATTCAAGTATTCATGCATGGATACATGGTTTTTCTTTTATTTTTTCCTGGAAAAAAGCTTTCATTTTTCCAATAAAATGCTCTTTTTTCTTCTTTACAAATATGTCTACTGTATCTGTGTATCTGTATCTAGGATTGTTAGCTTTTTGCTTTGATTGGTTGGCTAAAAAATCAACCTATTGCATGAGAATTATTTGAACAGATTATAGGAAAATTAAATCGTTCTATTTTTTTAATGGTTAATAGATTTGCTCCAGTAAAATCAGAAAGGGCCCCTTGCCTACTTCTTCCATATCTGAAACAGATATAGTCCCTGGTAGTATACATTTTTCAATGAATTATTTCCTTTTCACTATGATATCAATTTCTGAGAAGTTTGTTCACAGTGTGACATAATTATTCTTTTAATATGTACTGTGATCCTTGTATTATATGCAATGTGGTTAATTCTTCTCTGTGTGTATTGCTTTTATTCATAAAGTCTGTTCATTGCCACTATGGCATTGGTAAAGAGGAACACAAAGAAGAGTGAAGTGTGAATTCAATGAATGTTAAGGCTTTATCTAGATTCATATATATGATTCAGATTCTATTTTAGTTAGCTGTGTTCTTCACGAGTGTTCCCAGTGTGATGTAGGGGACTCTTAACCCTCAAGTTTAACACAGAGCAATGGTTAACTTCATTTTAATTGTGGTATAAAGCATGCATCTGTCTCAAGATCACCACCTTGATTTGGTCTAAAATCGCATCTATTCTCAATTGTTACATGTCCCCTCCGAATTCCCAGAGAGATAAAGAACAAGGTGTGTAGGATTAGCAGATATTTTTGTGAATCTCAACACTACTCCTCATGTCCAAGGTGGTGCCCTGCAAGACAAGGCTTTTGATGTTTCACTCATACACTTGCTCCTGTATAAGTCTTATCTTTATTCATATCTGATTTTTTCCTCTGATGAAACCAAAAATCTCTGGATCCAACAAATCTGGAAAAACTGAAAATTTAAAATGACTATTCTTTCTACCTTTTGATTTTTAAATAATTTATCCTCTTTTGTGTTGCCTGAGATTTTGAAAATACATTACTTGTTTTCTGTCAACAATTGGAAAGTCTTTTTTTACTTCATTCTCTTGTCTTTCTAGCAATCCAAGTACAAATTTATATAATGTATATTAAAGACTTCACATAATATATTGTGATCTTTTTCCCTTCCCCTAATTCCTTCTATATCATCTTCAGTATCCTACATACCCAATTTTATGTTCTTTCTCTCTGTTATTCAATCTTTAAAAAAGCAACAAAAATAGCAAGGAACAAGGAAATTCCACAAAAACACCTAAATAAAATTTACCTATTTATGAATTAAATTTCTTGAGGGTTCTAATTCCGTTATATACTATTTTTAGAAGTATTTTTTCCTCCCTATCCTTGTGTTACTACATCTTTTTTTTTTAGGTTTCCCTGCCTTTCTTTTCTTCTTTTTTTTCTTTTTTATTATTTATACTTCAATTTAAATTTAGATTAGAAACCAGGTTGCTTCATAAGTCAGTTCCAGGTCCCTCTGCGTTTCCCTCCCCTCCTCCGGAGCCCTCCCTCAACCCCCCCAATATCACCTCATATCCCCAGGGAGGGTAAGGCCCTCCTTGGGTGTGTCCATAGTCTGTCATTTCACAGGGCATGCTTTCTTTCTTTGGTGGTGGTGGGGTGTGGTTTTTCTTTTCTTTTTTTATCAAATATAGCTTTTTTTCTTCATATTTATTGATTATGTCTTCCCTTCCCAGCTCCTCCTATATCCTGTCCACCTTCCCTCCCATCCAAATCCACTCTTTTTCTTTCTCTAGTTAGAAGACAATCAGGCATCTAGAAAGTAGTGATAAAATAAGATAAAACAAACAAATAAGAACAGGATAAAACAAATGGAAGAGCCAAAGAAAAGGCACAAGAAACACATATGGCCTCAGAGACACACATTTGCACAAAGGAACCCACAAAAACCACAAAACCAGAAACCATAATATATCTGAAAATGACCTGTAAGGTTAAACAAGAAAAGCCCTGACCTGACAAAGAACCTCCAAAAATACCACTGAGCTGGTTTTGTGTTGTCCTTAAGAGTGACTTGATTGGCCGGGCAGTGGTGGCACACTCCTTTAATCCCAGCACTCGGAGGCAGAGGATAGCAGATCTCTGTGAGTTTGAGTCCGGGCTGGAACGATAGCCTCCAAAACAATACAGAGAAACCCTGTCTCATAAAAAAAAAGAAAGAAAGAAAAGAAAAGAAAAAAAAGAGTGACTTGATTGACTACTGAGACTCTGGGAGAAAAGCTTTCATTTGTGAGCAGTTATCAGATGGAGGTAGCTCCTGGGTTTGGGATAGGGGTTTGTGTCCACTTCCCCTCTCAGCACTGGGACCCCATCTGGCCCAGATCCATGCAGAACCTGGGGTCTTAAGTGTTCAGGTCCTCTTTATGAAACTGTTTGTAATTCTGGGCTCCCCCTTAATCCTCGTCAGGCAGGCAAATGGTAGAGAATTCATGGAGTGGCTAGCCCTTTTCCCCGTGCCACACGTTGCTCCATTATTATTACTAGTTTTGAGAGACAGGAGCTCCTACTGTAGACAAGGCAGGCTTTGAACACACAACTCACAGAGATTTGGTTGCCTATTGTCTTCCCTGGGATTAAAGATGCGCTTCACCTTTATTTTCCTACCGTGGCTTGATGCTAAGACAGGGTTTCTCTGTGGATTTGGAGGCTGTCCTGGAACTAGCTCCTGTAGACCAGGATGGCCTCAAATCACAGAGATCCCCCTGCCTCTGCCTCCAGAGTGCTGGAATTAAAGAGGTGTGCTGGGATTAAAGGTGTCTGCCACCAATGCATAGGTTTGCCTATTTTTAAACTTTTAAAAAGTTCATCATTTATCCTTTCAAACAAGATCCAATTTAAGTATTGTATTGCTTTTATGAGAATGTTTTGTTTGCATTACAAACAAACAAACAAGAAAAACAAACAAACAAAAAAACCCGTTTCTGGAGAGTCCCAATGAAGCAACTGTCAGATACCATGAAGGAAGCTTAACTATCGATTTAAAAGTTACCACAATTAGCCACCAGCTCATTTGTCTGTAAAGCTCACACCCCTCCCTTTCAGGTTATGTTTTAAGGTTACCGGTTGTCATTGCATGATTAACTCGTTTAAGTTATATAAAAGTCAAGCACCAGTTAAAAGGGTTAAAGAAAAATGAAAAAACTTTGGAACTTAACTATGCGTGGTTATTTACAACACGAAAAAAGGTTTACAAGTTACACGAAGATGTTTAAGAGGCCATCAAGTTTTTCTGGATCCCAATTTTAAACACGTCTAAAGTTGGAAGTTGTCTAGGAAGGGCAGCTGGGGTCTGGCAGCCCGAGTCCCCTTCCTGGATCCCACTTGACCACTCTCCATAGAGCACTGTTCCTTCTCAACTACACCCTTGCCTTGCTCTAACAAAGGGGTCGTCCCACCAGCGTTCCACGTGATCGCGGTACAGAAGGGCAAGGATGGAGGATTGAAGACCCCCGAGGAGCACACAGAATGCCAAACTCTCAACTAGTGGCAAAAAGAAGCCCAGAAGACTACGTGGGGCAGAGAGATGGAGGGTTCAGCCAAGCTCGGATAGGAGGATCTGGGGGCGGGCCATGCGCGAATAGGGGAGGAGCTAGATCCGCTGCAACAGGCACTGAAGCTCGGTTCCTCCCCCGAGAGGCAAGGCAATGATTCGTGACGTCACAAGGGCGGAGCACGAATTTATAAGGCAACGTGAGTCAGCTTTCAGCAGTCGCTGCTGAGAGCACGAGCTGCTGGGTTGTTTTTGCTGTGGTGGTGGCTTGCTCTCACCATCCGTTCTCGGAGCCTGGGACTAAGGGGTCGCGCGCCTGTTTTGTGTGATTGACAGCTACACTCGACTCGGGCAGGGCCATCCCCTGCTGCCTCTCTCCTTAGCCAGGGCAGCAATCTTCAGGCTTCTTTGCTTGCAGCTCACTCATGCAGAGTGCTTCGTCTTTTTGATTTTGGAACTTGTGAGCGTCTTCTTTTTTACCCTCTCCAAAAAACTTTTTTTTTTTTTTTGTTTTGGCTTGGTGCCTCCAGGGCTGGTTTCCCAGTCCCGAATAACCACTTCCAGACCCAGGTCGCCAGCCCCACCCCAGGTTGCCCCCGGCTCTGCCCCAGGCCCCTGAGGGTGGGAAGCTTTGCCCAGTGGGTCTCTGCAGCATAGCTGCAATTGAGTCAGTATGCTTGGGGTCAACGACCCTCCTCTTTTTATAAAAGACATTAAGGCCGGACTGAAAAACTTAAATGTGGTCTTTATTGTCCTGGAGATAGGTAAGTGGGGTCCGCAGCCCGCAACACACCCTGGAGAGCTCTGACCTCTTTCCCTGCCTGCGCCACCACGTGCTCCCCCACCCATGCCCGGACTGGGCTCCTACACCAGGACAGAAGACAGTCTTGTAGTGTGTCCTAGGAGGGTGAGGTAGTTGCCCTGAACGGACTTGTTATCTAACATCCCTTTCCCATCATTCATTTAATCTCAACAGGACACGTGGTGACCAGAACCAAAGATGGCCATGAAGTGAGATCCTGCAAAGTAGCTGACAGAACGGGAAGCATCACTATTTCTGTGTGGGATGAAATGGGAAGACTCATACAGACAGGGGATATTATTCGTTTGACCAGAGGGTAGGTGTGGGGTTGGCCAACTTCTGGGGTCCTGCCAAGTTCTGAGTTGCCTGGCCTGGTTCTTCTGTGGGCTATTTCAAGAAGCTGTGAACTGCTTTGTTGGGCAGAATTGGCAACAGCTTCCCTTTTGAGGCCCTGCCTTGTTTCAGGGAGGGAGTGCACTCTGCCCCTCAAATTTTAAAGGTTAATTTTTTAACCTATTGTATGGGAGTCAGTGAGCCTTCTGAGTAACTGGTAACCACACTGCCTTTATAATGGTATTTGATATGATGTCTTCCACTTCCTTCCCTTTTGAGTGTCTTGAGATCCTGTCATCACTTAATTTGTACCTTTCATTTAGGTGGTATGGACATAAACCTAGAGGCTGGGGAATTTATCCTTATTTCCTTTACCTTCGTTTTGGAAACAGTATCTCTTGTGTTCCAGGTTGTTGTTGATGCTCAGGAGAATGAGTTTGAACCGCTGACCTTCCTGCCTCCACTTCAGGTGGTGGGATTACAGGGATGTACACAAGTGTCCTGGGAATGAGCCAGAGGCCTCCTGCGTGCCAGGCAAGCATTCTGCCTTCTGAGTTCCAGCCCCAGCTCGCATTGGACATTTTCTGTGGTCATATTTGTACTCAGTAAAGAGGAAGACAGCGTCTTGCATACTCATTCCTTCTTGAAAATGATTTCTTCTGTAAGATCAGTGTTTCACACCCCCTCCCACCCAAATACACAGAAAGTGGCAGAAAGACATCTGATACACTCAGAACTTTTAATTGGCAGACTGTTGGCTATAGAGACAGAGCACTGTTTTTCATCAGCTGTTGAAATTTTCCTCAAAAGTTAGTCTTAAGGCCAGGAAAGAATCTTAGAAGTGTGGAAGCTTATGTGATTGGGACAACTGTAATTTTATTGGTAGCTACCAGAAAAATGGTTATTGATGCTGGCTAAGAGAGCCTCAGAGAAATAACTAGTGCTGACTCCTCTGGGCAGGAGTTCTTTGAAACTATCTCACAGGCCTGATGAAATTTCAGACCTCAACATGATTCTGCTAAGCTGATTAGTTTTTATTTTCCTTAGACTTACTGATGTCTTCCACATTTAAAATAAACAATTGGTTCCATTATGTTCAAACTAAAAGTTGTAAACTTTGGAAGGGCCAGCAATAGGAAGATTAGTGTTCCCCCCCTTCCCACCCCATCGTCCCATTCTTGATAAACTTTTACCAGATTTTGAGGAGCTTGGGAACTGTCTGTAGATGTAGGAGTAAAATGTCAGCCTTCCATGACCATGTCAATGAGTGTGAAAGAAAACACTCATGTTGAATCCCTATACTTTGTGGCTGGAAGGCAACACAAATACTGAGTTTGTATCAGAGGCTCCTCAGAATGTACTTTCACTGCTGTGTTGAATTGGGTGGGTCTTGTTGCCTACCCCTCCCTTCCTCCTCTGCTCCTTAACTAAGCTACACACAGGTCAGTGTTAAGTGTGATTTCGTGTAAATGTGTAATGTAGAGGATTTTACAGATATCTCTTCTGTTGCAATTGGGTGTTCGTTTTAAAATTATTTAAATTGTAGTGCAATTTAGAGCAGCAGTACATGCTTTACAAAATGCCACTTCTCACCCTCGTCCTCCTGTTCTCCTTGAGGCTGGCCTCAAAGTTGAGTTCTTCCTGTTTCAGCCTTCCCAGTGCTGACATTCAAAATGTGTCACCATGCATGCCTGGACAGGTGTTTTTCAAGCTAGGCTTAGGGGCCCATGGCTGACAGATCAGTTCCTCCTGAGGCCGAGACAGGAAGATGGCAAGGCTGGGGACTACTTGGCTTCAGAGCAAGTTAAAGACCAGCCTGGGACACAGAGGGAGATACCTAAATACAAGGCTTAAAAACAGGAATATAGTAGCCAAGTGGCTGATTGCTTGCCTCCTTATGTGCAAGGAAGGCCTGGGTCAGTCCGCATTAGTGCTCAAAACTGTTTTCCTAGGGCTATAATTTACATAACTATGTCATAATGTGCCAGTAGCATTGTCATTGTGTAATTTCTTATTAGAGTTGCATGGACTGTATTTGTCTTGACATGGTGGGTAGATGGGTTGATTTGCACTTCTACCTGATAGAAAATACACTGAAAATTATTCGAGCTCTACTTTCTTTAGAAAACCTTACTTATTTTCCCTCTAGGTATGCATCAATGTGGAAAGGATGCCTGACACTTTATACTGGAAGAGGTGGTGAACTTCAAAAAATTGGAGAGTAAGTTTTAAAATACATTTGTATGATGAAGTTTCAAATAATGTCTGCAGAATAATTGTATAAAGTAAAAACTGCTTACTTGGCTTTTGGAAACTTGGTCTCATGCTGTAGAATGGTAACTAGTTTAAACACTTTCAGTACTCAAAGCTGAGTTTGAGTTGTGGAGCCCCAGAGGAGCTCTTTAGAGTCATGTGTTATGAAGTGTTTGGGTCGGGGTTACAGGATCTGGCTAGATGGTTTTACATACAGAGATGCTGCAGCTAGGTGACAACCACACTAAGTCACTCATTTGCTCATGCCTATTCTTTGTCACGGTCAATTTAAGATTTTCTCAAACTGGATGTAGTTTATAGTTGAAAAGCTAAGAAAATGCTTATGTGTGAGCAGGGTACCAAGTTGTGTGGTCAATTACAGGGAGTGCTGGGATGAGGTGGTGACTTAGTAGCCAGTTATGTATCTTAATCGTCTGGAATTTATTCTTTGTAGCTTTGATTGTCTCTGCAGATACACAGTGAATGATCAAATGGATTCTATGAGTGCATCAAATAGTTGGGTGTTAATATGGGCTATAGCTATTTGGGAAATTTCTGTCACAATTGAATTAGCATGCTACTGTTAAGATAATCTTTGACACATAAGGTTTTCATTCTTGTAAGTTAAGGATGTTGTACAAAAAGCTTCAGAAATCATTTAACTTGTACGTTGCTGTCTTTTAGGTTTTGTATGGTGTATTCAGAACTGCCAAATTTCAGTG